ATAATGATAATAGTAATTATGATTATAATGACAATGACAATAATGGTGGGGATAATAATGATATCAACAACAATGATGATCATGACAATAATGATTATGGTAATGATAATGATGATACTTGTAATATTGATAATAAAATTGGTGACCGTGATATTAATAATAACAATAATGATACTTATAATGGAACTACCACTGGTACTGCTAATGATAATAATGTTTATAATGATCATTATAATAATAATGATAACGATAATAATATTGATAATGATAATAGTAATATATATGATAATAACAATAGTAATAAAAATAATAATGATAATAATAACAGTAACAATGATTTTAATAATAGCAACAGCAACAACAATGATAATGATGATAATCATAGAAACAACAATGATTATAATGACAATAGTAAAAATAACAATAATAATTATGATAATAATCATAATTATAATGTTAATGATAATAGTAATAATGATAAGAGTGATAATAATAGTAGCAGCAATAATAATGATAGTAACAACAACAACAATAATCATGACTATTATTATCATCATCATCATACTCTATTAGTGTTATCATCATCATCCTCATTATTCTCATAGCAATCATTATCATCGCTATTATTTTTATCATTACTGTTACTATCATTATCCTCATTGCTATCATTACCATTATCCTTATCATCATTTCTAGTGCTGCTATTAGCAGTGGTAATGATAATGTAACTACAGTTGTTCTTCTTATCCTAACCAACACTGCTGACGTCAGAATGCTGGGGTCAAAGTCAGGGTGGAAAGGACCTGACCACCCTACCCTACCGCGGCTTAGCATGTTTCTCTACGGGCATGTCCCCTACGTCCACATGGATATGGGACCAACTCTGACTTGAATCAACACAAGAAAAGCTTCAAACAGGTAAATGAAAGGAATGATTAAAGTAATTGACAAACATTTCCTGAAAGAGGTACAGTTTATTTCTGTTCAAAGTAATATTTATTTTCCCTCTCTATCTCTCTCTCTCGTCACCAGGACAGTCGTTCATTGTTTTGCAATAAACCTTCAGTTAGGAAACATTTACTCTTCTCAGGAAGGGAAGCACATACTTGTCTGTAACTGAGTGGGAAGGAGAGGGAAAGAGGAACCTCGGGAGGAGGGGTAAGGAGAGGGAGAGAGAGGGGGAAGGGCAGAAGGGGGGAAGAAGAGGGAAAGAGGAGACTCGGATGGAGGGGTGAGGAGAGGAAGAGAGAAGGGAAAAAAGGAGGAAAAAGAGGGAAAGAGAGGGAACTAGAGAGGAGGGGGGAAATAGAAGGCGAAAGAGGATTAGCAGAGGAGGGGACTAAGAGAAGGGGACAGAGAGGGTGAAAGATAAGGGGAATGAAAGAAAGGGTCTTGAGAGAAGAACAGAGAAGGAGGTGATGGAAAAGCAAGCGAGAATCACAGGAGAAAGGAGAAACGAAGAGGGAGAGAGGATTAAGGGAGAACGGGATTAGGAGCGTGAAGAAAGAGAGAGAAAGGAGGGGATAAGGAAGAGGAAGTGAAGAGAGAGAGGAGGGGAAGGAATAGGAGGGAGAGAGATTCTAAGGAGGAAAAAGGATAGACGGACCGTGCTGCCTGAAGAGCCTCTTCATGAGTGATTCAGCAAAGAGAAATTACTTTAGGGTCGTTCTCCTTGACCTTGGCCATGGAGAAGAACAGTCTAGGAACAGTTCGTGAGGAAACGCTTTTCTATCAGGTAATGCCTTTGCCGCGTTTTTCTTTCCTTCCTTTTTTTCCTTTTTTAGTTTTATGTATATACATACATACATACATACATACATACATACATACATACATACATACATACATACATACATACATACATACATACATGCATACATATACACACACACACACACACACATGTGTGTGTGTGTGTGTCTGACACAAACACACACGCCATATATATATATATATATATATATATATATATATATATATATATATATATTATATATATTATATATATATATATATTATATATGCACACACACACACACATCTATCTATCTATCTATATGTATATTGTCAACTTTCTGCTGAGAGCAGGGTGCTTCCCTTACAATCAAGAATTTGCAAACAAGAATATGTTACTAATATCACATAAC